GAAGTACTCAACTGAGCTTATATACCAAATCTCTCATAGACAGAATTTATTAGTATCTTGTAGACGTAGTTTATCACTACATTCCCATCTTTTTTAACCTTTATCAACTTCTTCCCGACTTTACTTATGATATTATATTGATATGTTACAAGTTTCTTTTAAATTAAAAGAAAAAGACACTAGGAATGTCACAATACACAACAGTGTAGAGTGTCCCTCCTTTGGGCCAAGAAAAAAATGAAAAAGAAACAAGAGCATATGATAATTAAACACATGTCGAAGGGGACGTATTAAATCCTCCTAACCAATTGTGTGACAGCTTATTAATAATGTCACAAGACATAAAAACTATGTCCCTATAGGCTATATATCATCAATTTGAAGACTTCATACATTGTTTTCCACTATAACACTTGATGTTTGCTTCAAACGCACACTATTCGATCTACTAACAATTATGCTGATTTCTAGATCATAACCAGTAAAATCAAAATCACCTTGATAAATAGTTTTACACGATTAAAATAAGTCGAGTGGATTTTTCTTTTGTCACACAAACTAACGAATTCGATAGTGTAAGATTTTTGTTTACCAGTTTGTGAGATATAAAAAATCTCACACAAGTAATATCAACAAGGTTTTAATTAGCATGGCCATAGAAATGTAAAACATAATTTGTTTTTATTAGTAGTTCCAAGAGAGAAGAGATTAATATAGTTCATACATTTGCCAACTCTGAAAAATAATTGGTTTTAGAGATGTGATTTTTGAATAATACAGAGTAAAATCCCCACTTTTTGAACACTTGTTGTTGGTCTCGATTGACTAATTTGTCCTACATCAACCAAAAACACCTAATAATTTGCAAAATACACTCATATTTTAGGCCTTTAGCGTAATGCTCATTTCACGGATTAATAAATAAAATGATAATTTTATTATATCACTCTTTAAATATAATAACTTTAATATTTTAAAATGAAAATTGTTGAAAAAACTATAATTAATTTTAAAAACTAAATGATAAATTATTATTTAATTTTTAAAACTAAACAAATACAAATGAATATTTATTTCTAATATGGAAAAATTACCTAAATACACAAATTATTTTATTATAATCTCTAAAATTTCCTACCATTTAAAAAATTTCAAAAATTCTCTGTCAGATACATCAGTCCCCTCTCGTTGATACATCCCTTTCTCCCTCTATGATACATCATCCCCTCTCTAATACATCCATTTCCTATCGGATACATCCATCCCCTATATATTCTGATGTCATATACCCTCTCTGATACATTCCTCTCCTCTCGAATACATCCTCCGCTTGTATCTGGATGTCTGTTGATGTCTTCGAAAGTCTAGTGATTTATCCAAAATTCATAAATTTTAAGAATTTTTGTAATTTTAAAATAGTAAAAAAATAATATAATTAACTCTTAACGCTATAAAATTTATGTAAATTATACTTAAATATTGTAGACAAGTAAAAATAAACGGAGAAATACCTTTTTCTTGAAATTGTAGTCCCTGCAGTGCACCCTGAAACAAAGACAAAACTGAATGCGGAAAGGGACCCATCTCATTAGCATTTTAATTCCAACGTGGAAGGATGTTGAAAGGTCACAGTCGTACACGGTGGCCCAAATGCCAGCGTGTAAGATACGGTACTATCTAGCTGGCATACAAAAGTAAATTACTATTACCAAGGATCGTTTTGATTCTCACGCTAAATTATTTCAGAATTATAATCTTACAATATTTAAAATTAAATTTCATATAATATATTTAACTAACCATACACATTTATCCTAAGTAAAATCAAATATATCATACAATTAATTTTAAATACTCCTATCTCACTTTATTTCGCATACCAATATTACATTACGACCCTTTAGAATATTATTGATAAGTTTTGAAGGGTATCGACTGCGGGGTTTTTCCTTTGGGGAGGGAAAGCAAAAGAGAGAAACAGGCTGGCAAAGGAGCAAAGGCGGCAGGCAGGTCACATGATACTTTTTCCTCATTTGTTTATATTGTCCAGCTGGCCATTTCATTACACGACACCAATTCTTCCTGGAGATGGTCATTATCCTATTTTATTGGCTTTTGAACACTTTTTTTGAATTTGAATAGTACTTCCTTCCCTCCATCCCATATTAATGTCTACGTTATTATTTTCTTCGTCTTAATTTATATTATAAATTTCATAGATTATTTTTTTATTATAAATTTTGTATGTTGAGTTATTAATTATAATAATTTATAGTTTTTTTAATATATTTTTAAAAATAAAAAATAGTATGCCCAAATGCACGATTAAGGTTAAATTATTCAACTCTCATATTCCACATAAATTGAGTAAAATTATTTGTTCCAAGTTATTATTTCAAGAATCAAATAAATATTTTATAGCTGATAATTTTGTCAAACCTTTTAAAGGTGGAGAGATTTTTTTCAATAGAGACTCTCTACTCACAATAAAATGATTCAAAGCAATTTAGAAAAAAAGAGTTAACAAAAATAAAAGCATAATAAAATATTTTTGAACAACAACTATAACAAAATAACACTATAATCGAAGTAAAAGAAACAACAGATAGTACCAAAATTTGAAGGAAAAGAAACTACAAAAAAATAAAAAAAATACTACCACCACTAGTACGAACAAATAACAAACAATACACTATTATCTAGTATAATTTTCTACCTTAATTTATATTCTTCCCAACCTAATATACAACATCATTTCTTCGATAAGCTAAAATTATATCATATCACATAAAATAGAAATATTGATAAGCTAAAATTATGCTATATATGTGGAATAAAAGTCTCTATCCTCTCAAACCACAAGCCCACAAAACCTTGCCCCCACACGTTACCTTACGAATTGCGGTATAGTTAATTGTTTGGTTAGGGTTTACTATTTATTGACTTCATCAACGTGCATTTTAGTTCATTGGATTCATTTATTTATTTTTGAAAATAATTATGATTTTGATATAATATCATATTTATTTAATTATAAATCATCTAAAATTTATAATCATAAATATATTTCAATATTTATATGCCTACAAAAATTATTAAGAAAAAATTAGTAATTTAAAATTAAATCTTTAAGAAATTTATATTGAGAACATTCTTATTAGAATAAATTTTCATTTTCTTTGACTTAAAACTAAATACTCAAAATGCATGAAAAGTCCTAGCAAATTCATTTTATGAAAACGTAAAGAATCAAGTTTCATTTACTTATTAAATAGTACCCGCTAGTTCTTTCTTATTTTATTTGATTGACATTTTATTTTCACATATAACGATAAGAAAAAAGAATTTAAAATAATACAACTATTTGTTTATTTATATTTAAAGATAATTTAATCTTAAACTTTTCATTTAATTATTATAATTATTTAATAACCACACAAATATTATAAAATATTTATAACTAAAAGTTTTATACCAAATTATATTTCAACACATAAATTAAAATATAAAAAATAATAAAGAAAATGTTGGGCGGTTGTGGAGGGATGTCCTGGAAATAGTTATAAATTGGTGATGATTGCATTTTTTGAATACCTTTTAATTTCCAAATGTGACCATCCAAAACAGTTGAATTTTGGAAATCCAAATTCCACCACCAAAAATAAGAAGAAAAAAGATTTCTTAGTACGATGCGTCATTTGTAAAGTGTTCATTCAAATTCGTTTAGTTGAAATGTTACCTTATATCTTTCTCTATATATAAGAGTATAATTAATTTTTATGTATGGTAAATGTTGAATTTTTTTAATTTCTTCATGTGTCTATCTCATTATATTAAAAATAAAAATTTTAATTCTTCTCTTATTATAAATAGAGTGATGATTTAAATAGGTAAATAAACTCGGAAAAAAATAAGTATAAACTCTAAAATTTTGTTCTAAACCTGGGAACAAATGTGAAAATTCTTAATTAAGTCGAGAGATATCGTTATCAAAGCTTTACAAAATTTATTCGTTTTTCACGAGTAATACTAGTCCACCTCAAATTAAAAAAAACAATCATAATAAATTCCCTCATGGACTGAGATTTTCTTATTCTTATTCTACTTTTGACCAAGAGCAATGTTGTCATTTTACACGCCTATAATTATTTTCCAATATGAAAAACCAAGAAGTTAGCATAAACAAATTACTCCCTCCATTCCAATATAGAACTAAATTTCTGTCACTTTTTTTTTATATAATTTAAAATAAATAAAATATTTAATGTTCGAACATATATTGTTTTTTTTTCCTTCAAAATTATTCATTCTTTATTCGATTTTCAACTATATCTTAAAAAAAGCACAAAATGATTATATTGACAAATTATCTTTTGGTTAACTTTTTTAAGGGTGTGTCGAGATAAATTTATAAGCTAAAATATGAGGCACATAAATTTGTTATCTCTCATAAAATTACATACATATTTTAAGTGTATATTTTGTAAAATTATTGAGTAAATATTATTTACTAACACTGTACATTTGATTAAACAATAAGGTTATACAGTTTTTTTCATCTTTCTGTATTAGTTATGAGCTCTCTCATTCTAAAAAGTTCATTCATTTTGAAGGTTCATACATTTTGAAGTGTGCCATACGAGTAAATTTGATATTAGGAGGCGAGAACATAACTAATACAGAAAGATGAAAATAATAATTCAAAAGATCATTCATTTTGAAACGAACGAAGTAATAGACAATTTCTAATCTCAAATTTACTCATATGACACAGTTCAAAAGTTCATTTAATTTGAAACGTACAAAGTAATAAATAATTCATAATCTCAAATTTACTCGTATAACACTCGTCAAAAGTTCATTTATTTTGAAATAAACGTAGTAATAAATAATTCTAATCTCAAATTCACTCGTATGACATACTTCAAAAGTTCATTTATTTTGAAACGAACGGAGCTATAAATAATTCCTTCCCCTACTCCAAACAACTTGTATAAATACCCTATGTTCTTCACAAAGAGAAAATTAAGACCAAAAAAAAAAAGGCATTAGCCATCTGACACCTTCTCTGACTTGTACCATTTTTCATCCAATACTAAACGCGCATTAATCATCGTATTTCGTGTTCCTGCCGATCATTTCCACCATTTTTTTTTCAGAAACTTTCTTAGAAAATCTCTGAGAAAATCATGTTTTAAATAAACCAAAAAAACAGAGCATTTTTTCACTATTTTTGTGTTACTTGAGGTAAAAAAGACGCCATTTTTGAAGAAATGGCAGTGTCAAAAACCAACAAGAAGAAGCAGCAATGTTACATAGCAGTACCATCTCAAATAATAAATTCAATTTCTTCTTCAGGGCTTCAGTCTCTGTTACTGTCTCCAAAGAAAAAAAACCCATCTTTTTCTGTAAAGTTCAAACTTTTACTTAATAATCCAAGATTCTGGGTTTTGTTTCTTTTTGTTTTTGGGTTTGTTGGTATGTTGAAGTTGTGGTTCAATTTTGAAACTTTAGTTCCTTTTGCACCAAACCCATGTGGGATTTTTCAAGAAAAGACTTCATTTTTAAATGACCATGAAGTTTCTCAGCTCAGTATTGGAGCTCTGAATCTTGGAAATGAAGAAAAAGAAGAAGGGGATGAAAAGAGTGAATTTTGGAAACAACCTGATGGGTTGGGTTATAAGCCTTGTTTGGATTTCAGTTCAGAGTATAGAAAAACAAGTTTGGATATTGTTAAAGGAAGGACTAGGTACTTGATGGTTGTGGTTTCTGGTGGAATGAATCAGCAGAGAAATCAGATTGTTGATGCTGTGGTGATTGCAAGGATTCTTGGTGCTGCTCTTGTTGTTCCTATTTTGCAAGTTAATGTCATCTGGGGTGATGAAAGGTTTGGCTTTTTTTTTGAACAATTCATCTTTATTTTCCAGCTCACAAGTTTTGTTATTCCTGTCTAATTCTCTGTATTTAGGCAACTTTTATTGAACTTGACTTAGCTTCTAATTTTGGAGTTTGGACAGTTAGTTAGTCCAATTTCATCTATTTGGGAACATCAATTTATAGAAATGTCTCAATAGTTTGGTGGAAAACTTGTTATTTACGTAGTGTAACATTGTATTTGGTTTTAATAAGTTAGATTTCCTATGCTATTCTAGGGTGTTTTTGATTTCTTAGCTTATGTTCTTTGTTGGTTTTTGGTTGCAGTGAGTTCTCTGATATATTTGACTTGGATCACTTTAAGGAAGTATTAGCAAATGATGTAAGAATAGTTTCATCACTTCCATCAACGCACGTAATGACTAGACCTGTGGAGGAGAAAAGGACTCCTCTCCATGCCTCCCCCGAATGGATTCGTTCACATTATACCAGAAAGGTAAAGAGGAATCAATTCAATTAATCTATGAAGTTATTACTTTCCTGGTTTTGGTTCAATAATAAGGACCACTGCTTTAATCTTTTTGGTCCAACAGCCTAATATAATTGAAAGCAAGAGAGCAGAAATGGGAAGTGAAAATGATTAAATAGTTTTATTTCCTTTGGGAATTGAGGTTCATTGTATGATGGATGGTCTTTACTCTTTAGCATGTTCATGTTATTAGAAAAAAATTAAATTATTAAACTTGGTGGCTGTTGAAATTTCTATTGTGGTTAGAAACAATCAAGATTGCTTGTTTATTTGGTTAATACTTAATACTAAAGTTGATATCTTTGGAAGATATTGAAGTAGTATCTTTCAAGTTGGACAAAGTCTTGAAATTGACTATATGGCAGCTGGAATTAATTTCTACACTCTTGGATTGATACCTAAACCAAAATATGCAAATACCAATTCAACTCTTCTAGACTTATTTATAAGGATATTTACTTGTGTTTTTTCAGAAACAATATCTCTACCCCACAAAGGTAGGGGTAAGGTTTGCGTACATCCCACTTGTGGGACCATATTGAGTATGTTGTTGTTCGTTTTATCTAAGAGGAGTGGTTGGTGAATTGAAGTTAAAACTAGTTTTGGGAAATTACAGAGGATCTTAATTTGATTGTTGAATTGATCTTTTGCAGCTTAGGAGGGATGGTGTTCTACTTTTGCGAAGCCTTGACTCGAGGCTGTCTAAGGATCTTCCTTCTGATCTTCAAAAACTTCGTTGCAAGGTAAATTTAATCCTCCTTGTCCTGTTACTGAGTTTAATTCAGACCTCTCAAAGATTCCGCGATGCATTTTATTGAATAATGGAAACTATATGGGACATTTGCTTCACGAGAAAGTGATACATGAAATGCAATACGGCTAACAATAATAACTAGATTATCTGATTTGTCATCGGATGTTTGTTTTTTTCATCGTAGACATGGACATACCATGTATTGCACATGTCACTTTCCATAAGTAGGGCAAGTTTGTTTGCAATAATAACCTGGTCCTATTTAACTAACTCTGTCTAATGCTTTGCTGTTATATGTAATTATTCAAAGAAAACAGCTCTTTAAAATTTAGGAACTTTGCCTTTTTTATGTTGTATAACTAATTTATTTATACCAACTGCTAATTTTAATTGGAACCCCACCTAATTCCTTCTGTTGGGATTAGCATTCAATTTGACAAAATACTGATTTGTGATCTTGTAGGTGGCATTTCATGCTTTGCGGTTTTCGCCATCAATCTTAGGACTTGGTAACAAACTTACTGAGAGGATGAGGAGCAAGGGACCATATGTTGCTCTTCATTTGAGAATGGAGAAGGATGTGTGGGTGAGAACAGGATGTCTTCCTGGTTTAAGCCATGAGATTGATGAGATGATAAATAATGAGAGGAAGCGAAGGCCCGAGCTCTTAACTTCGCGTTCAAACATGACCTACCATGACAGAAAGCTTGCTGGTCTCTGCCCTTTGAATGCTTTGGAGGTTACAAGGTTAGCATATTAGCCTTCATGTATTTCCTTGTTTTGTTCATGCACTTGAAAATACTTCCCTACTTAACAAATTTACGTTATTTTGATTAGGTTGCTCAAAGCATTGGGAGCACCAAAGAGTGCAAGAATCTATTGGGCTGGAGGAATTCCTTTGGGTGGAAAAGAAGCATTGCAACCATTGACAAGTGAATTCCCTCACTTCTTTAACAAAGAGGATCTTGCGTTGCCTGGGGAACTTGAGCCATTTGCCAAGAAAGCATCCCTTATGGCTGCTCTTGACTACATAGTAACCGAGAATAGCAATGTTTTCATGCCATCTCATGGTGGAAACATGGGACATGCTCTCCAGGTATTGCTTCTCCTTCCACTATACATCACTTTCTTGAACAGAATAATGCTAATAGGATTATCTGAACATGTCTGAGCTTTTCTCTAACTATTGGCTGTATTTTGTTTTGTCAATAGGGACAAAGGGCCTATGCAGGGCACAGAAAGACTATCACTCCCAACAAAAGACAGATGCTTCAACATTTTCTGAACTCATCACTTTCTGAGACAGAATTCAACAGAATTATACTAGACTTGCATAGAGATTCCTTAGGTCAGCCAGAATTGAGGAAAGCAGGAAGGGATGTGACAAAGTACCCTGTCCCAGAGTGCATGTGCAATGGTACTATGAACCATTCATCGACATAACTCCTTATCAGTGAAATAACATGTGATGAAGCACCCCTGCAGCTAATCATACATTCTTACAACATCCTGAGAACTTTGGATTAGCCTCACTGTGATTCAGACGAGCAGACGAGGTTGCTTGAGGTGCAATACAATTTTTTTCGACTATGTTTAGAGGCGAATCCTTGGTGGTTATAACTTATGGTAACATGAGACTGATGCAGCAGAACTGGGAAGATGAATCTCTAATACAAAAGCAACATCTTATACAAGTCCAATTCCTAGTTCTTAGTACTATATGTTAATAATGTTTAAATGAACCACAGCTTCATTTTATTCAATTCATTCTTTAGAAAATTTCAATGTAATCTACCATAGTCAATGTATATGCAATATATATGTATTAATGTATATAATCATACAAATTTTTGAGGTATATATGCCATTTTGATTGTGTTTCTTTCTGAGCTAAGTCCATACATTCTTTGTAAATCTATTTTATTTTTATTTCAGTTTAAGAAATCCTGTTTCATTAAACAAGATATGAGTAAGAGGAGACATAATAATTCACTTGTTGTTAAATCATATTTGTTTAATGTTTACATATTGGACTTCTCCTTCAGGCTTATCTTATGGAACTAGCTTATTTTATTGACAAATCATTGCAAATAAGAATTTAAATCATAATCATTATGGTTTAGATAGACTTCCAGTTGTACATTATCAACAAAATGGTTTATTAACAAACAAAGGAGCTTGGAAGCATGTTGTTTGACCTATTCTTGAGTTCCTATCTGAAAGAAAGTAGTGATGTTCAATCAATGCTTGCAAAATCATATCTTATAATTAGATTTTAATATAATTTGGTCTAATTATATTTGTTTACTTGGTCAACAAGATTGAGTGTAATTTAAAAGTATAATAACAATCTCCAATTCTCAAGAGGAGTCAAAAAACACTACCAAATAGAGTTGTGTATCGGTCAATTTGGTTCAGGTTTGAAAATTATCGATTTAACTTATGTAGCATCGGTTTGTGAAACTACTAAACTGTTAAAAGAAGAACAACTTTCACATACAGCAAACAAAAAAATCATATTTGTATGCTATATCAAAGTTTGCATAATTGTGCTCCATAGCAAACATATATATGTATAATTCGCTGTACATATACAATTGAAAGTTATGTCTATTTCACTATACATATATACAAAAAGAAGCAATTGTATAATTCGTTGGCTCCTCTTCAGATTTGTATAATTTCGCTGGCAAACCATTTGTATAAATTGTTGTTAGCCTCTTGTTTGTATAAATCGTTGACAAAAATATTTGTATATAAAAAATTGCTCTCTCTTTTGCTTTATACAAACATAAATTATACATTCTACAAACATAAATTTTACATTATATTGTATAATTTGTGTTTGTATAAAACGAGAAAGAGAGAAAGGCAAAAGAGAACTGGGCAGGG